CCCCAAAACCCCAAAACCCCAAAACCCCAAAACCCCTCGGCAATAACTTGAGATAGAAAGGTTGGTTAATCATAAATATGGCAGCAAAAGTTAATTCCCCAAGAGGGGTCAGGAAGCCATCTGGCCCCTTCCTCACCACCTTCCTTCGTCTGTGATGCATCTCCCAGACTAAGGATGTAGCTCCTAAGACAAGAAGGAAATACTCTTTGGACAGAGTCACTCAGGAAGACGTCTTTGATAAGGACACTTCTGCATATTTTGAGAAGGTCTGCAAGGAAATACAACAACTAGAGCAAGAATACGAACACCGTCATGACCCTCTCAGCAAGCGGATGAAGAGGGGACTCCTAAGACTCAAGAGACAACGTGATCTCATCTCTAGCAAAATATCCGAACAACCTCAAAGCAGTGATACTAAAGCCCTTAAACAGTTGTTGAAAAATATGAATATGCTAAAATAACGCAAGGGATTTTGACAATTTCTGCAAATCACACGATATTGGCACTGTAGATGAAGGAGAAAGCATTTCTGACGGTGAAGAAAACCCTCCACGCACATTTCAGCTAAACCGTTCCTCTAATATCGTAAATCCTGCTGATTACTTCATGACACCAGAGTCTTTATTTTCAGCATCTGCAAGCAGCGGCCCGAGAAAAGATGATAGAAAGAAGAAGAGAAAGAAAAACAATTTTAGCCAACTTTGCAGAGTTGTTGAGGCTAAGTTACATCAATTTGACAAGCAAGCCTCTTCTAGTATTGACCAGAAAGAAAGCCAGGAAAATCCTACTGGGACATCTCCAATTCCTGCTAAAGATATGTTTCTTAACAAGTTCTTTGACTTCTCCAGTGCAAGAATAGACTTGAAGAAATCTCAGCATTTACAGGTGGGTTATTCTCCTTAGTGTAGCTCTTAAAATTTCTTAAGCTGTGCATTATCAAGCATCTCTGGCATTACCCAACCGTGCTAATAATCACCTATAGAACAAGAGAATTCACTCCCCTGGGAAAGATATAGCTTTCAAAGGAAGTCAGTAAATGGGATAACTCCCAGTGTTGATAAGTTGACTACTCTTACAGAGGTATTCTAACTATCAAACATCTATTTTCTCCCAGAGTGTCCTTCTGAGACCCCTTCAGGAGGTGGCTTTACCTCCTTGGCCCAATCGGCCAATCAGAGGATCGGAGAAAAGTCTAAATCAATATATTTTTCATAATATCAAATTGCTCAAATATGTTTCATGAATCCTTCATTCACCTTATTAAGGGATAAATTTCTGAATGGTTTATAACTTATCCACAATTAATAGTAGGAGAGGGACATTTGGCAAGCTGCTAGTGGAAGCTCCACAGGCACTCTTGATTCCTACTCGTAACTGAGATATTTGGAATCGAAACTAATTCGGAATCTTCCTGCCATTTTTAGCTAAAAATAACCGTTTTTGGAGATTCAGAAAGAACTTTTGATGGCTGGGCTGCTTTCTATTTTCTTTCACATTTTAAATCTTCTGAAAAGCCAATTTCCGAAGTCTCAAGTGCTCTAGAATATTGATCGAAGTCATCAAAGCTGTTTAAGAAGTTCCACTGCAAGCAAAGGAAGGTTATCTAACTTCTCATCAGAAATGGATGAGATTCTATGCATGCTTTACGTAGTACACAGCTAAAGACTGCTGTCAAATTTAAGGGTTGCTTTATCCTCAAAGAAAATAGGACACTTCTAAGGAAGTTTAGGGCTTGATCATCTCTGTTTCGTAGCAATTCAGCGATACCTCTCTCATGACAGTAGTAGGTAGGAAAGCTCATGCTGGTACAAATTATAGGAATTATTAAAGAATTCTTATTCTTCTCCCCAATTCCCCAAGCTTGCGTAAGTTATTTCAGTTTGTGATGATCCCTTAAGTTAAGGACAATTTACTCCTGGGTGTTGGGAAAGAGATAAACATGTGGTTAGAGGCTACCTGGTTGGGATGTACACTCTAAGTTGAGAGCTCCCAGTTCTATTCAGATTTGTGCCACGTAAGTCTGGACATAAAAACTTCTGAACTGATCACCAAATGTGTTAAGATATAATTTTTCATAATTTATTACCTCTTGCTGGTCACTAAGAATCTAAAAATATCCAATTTCTGTTAATTCTAAATGATTTTCGCTCGAAATCTGAAATCAATGCTTGCAAATTTTGGAGAGTTATCAAAGAACAACCAAAATTACTAGCTAGATAATTCTGACAAATTCTCATTATTAGGCAAGAATTTTGATAGTCTTCCAAAGGAATCCAAAATATACAAGTGTTCGTACCCCTAGATGCAGAAAGGAGTCCCTCACACCTAGTGGGAAGGTAGCCCTCAACTCTTTTTTGGGATAGACATGTTTTCCATTATCTGTACCATTATTTCTGCATCCTAAAACGCTAAGTGAAAGATAACCAAATTTAAATAAGAATGGTCGATTGCCTAACTCTATGGCTAATAGAGTTCTAAGTAGCCCTAAGTCATGATAGTCTTCAAAATTCATCCTGAAATCTAGCTAAAATTCCCTAGTTGAGAGGTCATGGGAGATCTCAACGAGAAACTATCTTTGGGACTTGTTGGCTGTGAACACTTGGATTTTTATACATCCAGTAATCATCAGAATTAACAACACTAGTACGAAATGTGGGTTATGAGAAGCTGGTTATACTTCAACTGCTTAATCTCTGCTCAATCATAGGGGCTCTTCTGAGTTGAAGCTAGATGATAATTTTGTACTACTCTACTTGGAATATCATTGACATAACCAACATGAGTTATTATCAGCAAAGCAACCAACTTCGTGAGTTCATAAGTCTACTCTACAACCTAAGTACATCCTTAAGAGGTAGGTCTACCCTTCAGGCTTTGAGAATCAGAGAATTTCATTGCACATCACAAGCCTAAAATTAGCCAACCAACAGATGCAGAGGCTAATCACCTGTTCGTGCTCATGGCCATACTTGCTCAACCCTGTTTTATATAAGGGGTTTTGGGGTTTTGGGGTTTTGGGGTTTTGGGG